GCTCAGACGAACAAAGCAGCGGGACTGTGTGTGACTAGGTGTCCCACAAGGCTGACCAGTCCGAGCACTAGTGCGAATCACGTAAGAGCCGCGAACAGAACTGAGAGATTCTCTACTCTGAGCGTACCACTCACGAAGCTGCTGGGGCGTGAAAGACGCGCGTGGGCGTCGCTGGAGCTGCATTCGGCCGCTGCCAGTAGTATTAGCAGTAGCAGCGCCGCCACCCCTACAACCCCAACCAACGTACCACTCACGCAGCTGCTGGGGCGTGAGGGACTCACGCAGACATCGCTGGGGCTGCATCTGGCTCCGCCAGTAGAATCAGGAGCAGGAGAAGCAGCAGTAAGGCAGGCAGCCAGGCAGGCTGAAAGGCAGGCAGGCAGGCAAGCAGGTGGTGGGCAGCGCGCTAGCAGGTCAGGGGCTCACCAGTGGTGGGAAGAGCAGGCTCGGCGACTCGGCGACTCGGCGGTGCGGGCGGCTCCGGCGGCTCGACGGCACGGCCGCTCGGCAGCAACTGCGGCTCGGCGGCAACTGCGGCTCGGCGACTCGGCGACTCGGCGGCTCGGCGGCAACTGCGGCTCGGCGACTCGGCGGCTCGGGCGGCTCGAGCGGCTCGGCAGCAACTGCAGCTCGGCGGCTCGGCGACCTGGCGGCCCGGGCGGCTCAGGTGGCGCTGCGGCTCAGGCGGCTCGGGCGGCTCGGTAGCAGCTCGGCGGCGCCGGCGGCTCGGTGGTGACGGCGGGTCCACTTGGGGACGGCGGCGGGGCCGGGTGGAGCGGCGACGGGGCCAGCAGAGGGGCGCTGGGGCCGGGAAGGACGGCGCCGGGGCCGGGAAGGGCGGCGCCGGAGCCACAGAGGTAGGCGACGGGGCCAGTAGAGGCGGTGCCGGGGTCGGTAAGGGTGGCGTCCGGGCCTGTAGAGGTGGCGCCGGGGCCGGGAAGGGCAGCGCCGGGGCCGCAGGGGTAGGCGTCGGGGCCAGCAGAGGCGGAGCCGGGTCGGGAAGGGCGGCGTCGAGGTAGCCGGGGTAGGCGACGGGGCCAGCCAAGGTGGCGCCGGGGCCACGAAGGGCAGAGCCGAGGCCGCAGGGGCAGGCGACAGGGCCAGCAGAGGCGGGGCCGGGTCGGGAAGGGCGGCGTCGGGGTCGCCGGGGTAGGCGACGGGGCCAGCCGAGGTGGCGCCGGGGCCAGGAAGGGCGGAGCCGAGGCCGGGATGGGCGGCGCCAAGGCCGCAGGGGTAGGTAACGGGGCCGCGAGGGCGGCGTGACGCGGCCGCTAGGGCGGCGCGACGAGATGGGGCCGCGACGGGGCAGCGAGGGGTCGCGCGCGGCTCCTCTGGGCGCCGCGACGGGGTAGCGAGGAGTGGCGCGCCTAGGAGGAACGGGGCCGCGCGCCTCGGGGCGCGCGCCAGAGAGAAAATCGCCGCGCGCCAAAAATAGGTTGTACGTCACGGTGCGTGCGACAGATCGAGTAGCAGCGGAAGCAGTAGTAGGGCCCACTGGCCAGGAGCATATGTGCTCTGAAACCATGTGAGAATGAACGAGAAATTAATTGACTAAGTGAAAGTTGGGTACAAATACAAACCCTAGAAAGCTGTACCCCATATGTGCTACCCCACTATAGCCTACAATAGCAATGTCATATAAATCTGACACTGCAATCTCGAACCTCAAAAATATTTTGTGCTCGCCGTCCGTGCTTCACATTGCAGATCCGCACCGTACGTTCGAGCTCGTCATTGATGCTAGCGACATCGCTGTGGGAGCAGGAATGTTGCAGGACTTCGGGAACGACCTCGAGTCAATCGCATACGAGTCCCGCAAGCTTCACCCGCCCGAATGCAACTACCCGATACACGACCGCGAGATGGTGGCAATCGTGCACGTGTTCAAGGTATGGCGATGTAACCTCACGGAATCTGACGTGACAGTACGGACAGACCACCGATCACTACAGTACCTTCACGCCCAACCGAATCTCAACCCACGACAGATCCGCTGGTTGGACTATATGGAGTCAGATTTCCACTACACGGTCTCGTACAAAAAAGGTGCATCCAACATCGCTGACGCACTGACACGCCCCACCGCCCAACTCCACGCCATCCTACTCGCCCAAACCAACCCACAGCTAACATACCTATTCACCCACGGACACAGTACTGACCCATTTTTCATGACCGGGAATTCACACCAACTAGCAGAAGCAAAAGGAGTCTATTACGTAAAAGCAGGCACAAACCGCATCTGGGTACTCGCGTATACACTACCGAGGGAACTGTTACTGCATGAGGTACACAACCGGATTACCTTGGGACATTTCGAGGTAGAAAAAACGCGACAGCAACTGCAGCGGTATTACTATTGGCCGGAGCCGTTGACCGACGTACAGCACTACGTGGGCTCGTATCCTACGTGTCTGGTGATGAAGAGCTCGCGAAAAAGAAAGGTGGGTCAGTTGCAACCGATTCCACCGCCAGAGCGCGCCTGGCAACAAGTTACCATGGATTTCGTCACAGGGTTACCTTCGAACCCTGGGGGTAACGACTCAGTTATGGTCGTCGTTGAGAGGTTGACGAAGATGGCACGCTTCTCTACTTGCAAGAAATAGATCTCATCCGAAGAAATCCCTCGCCTGTTTATCGCAGCTGTCATTCGACAACACGGGATACTAGCCGCGATAATCAGCGACCGCGACACGAAGTTCACCAGCAACTTTTGGACCAAGCTACAGTTCAGCTCGTCGTACCACCCCGAGACCGACGGTCAAATGGAGCGGACGAATCAGACGATGGAGTAGTTTATTCGTGCCACGTGCGACGACCCGACAACTTGGGAGCAGCAGCTGCCGCTGATTGAGTTCGCGTACAACAACGCCACGTCAACGATGACGCAGCAGTCCCCACTCTACCTGAACTATAGGCAAAACCGTACAGTGCCCATGACGCCGGGTCCGGACATCCCAACCCCACGCGTACAACAATTCACCGAGATTCTGCAAGCTGCCCGCACCAGAGCCGCCAAAGCAATTAAAAAAGAAAATGTCATCACTAAGCGCAACACTGACCGCCACCGCCACCCGCCAACACTGTAGTGTAAGGAATTTTCTCGACATTCCTTAGTGCGCCCTACAACATCGCGTACAGCAGCAGCCGTTGTTCGCCCGTTACTGCTAACGCTAAGCTCCGTATATTGTAACGGTGTGTTACGGGTGCAATAAATCTAGGTAGCAAGGATTCCACTAAGTGTAAAATGAGTAGATTGTAACGTATCCAACCTATCCAGCCTTGGAAGGCTCAACTCCTAGCGTATGAAAGACGAGTGACCCTATACCACCCCAAGGGCCAATCGGGGTGGTGCCAAAAAAACACCGCCTTTAGTGCTGATCCGACGATCAGAGCTGATCAGAGCTGATGTTGCGACCACGTGACATCATTCGCGACAAGTAGATTTCAGATATAAAATCCAGTAGGCCCCCCACTTCACCCTCTCCACTTCACCCTCTCTACACGAAAATGCCAGGAAACCTTCGAGACAAAATGGATGTGGAAGGGTGTAACAAAATGGTTCGCCGGACATCCTCATAAATAATTTAACCCTCGGATTGGGGGGTTATTATATCTAACGGCTGTAAATCGTCGCAACTATTATGGAAGGACGTAGAAAAACGATTTGGACCACTCGTTACGAGTGCCCTGCTTTGCTGATGTGGAGGATGCCGTCGCACTCGTCCTCAAATCACCCAGCTGGTGGTACGTATTCAGACTAGACTCGTTTTCTTAACGGTATCGAAAATTTACACAGCTATCCTTCGCCCCTTTGACAACTACCAGGTCAGTCTCACCGTTGCGCACCTAGAGGTTGTGCGCCATGTCGTTATTGACAACGCTCCTCGAAGTTTTTTGGTCCCCCTAACATCAGGTACTATACAGGCTGATAATTTTTATTCAACCATACAGCAAAATCTAAACCGGGATATTTCAAGAACGGACGCCACAATAGCCTAAACTGGTGTGCACTAGTCTCCCACACACTAGCTCCTCAGCTGGTGTCGACAGATCTTGTGAGGAGAATGCATGCATTATAAACGCTTGCGCATGCCCACGTGCGCTAGACTATGCTGGCTATCACTTTATCCGCTACTTGGCGTCACCTCCAATTTTCGCCGCCACGCCATCATGTCAAGGAATGGCCTAAAGAAGCTATTTGTTCGTCCAGTGACAGCAAGGCACCACGCGATGCGCGAACCAGTATCTTCACTTCCTAGGCTGGATGAATGGATCTTGCTTCAGTTCAATCGCGATCGGCATCGAGATTCCGCCGCGAAACCTAATATTGCGATACGGTTTCCAGTCTGGGAAAAACGTGTGATACTAGAGCTGATTTACAACAAGATTTCGAGGGCATGGGGGAGTTCGGAAAGAAACGTGCAATATCTAAAGATGCGAAAGATGGTCGCGAGAGCATCATCTTCCACCATGCGCGGTTTTGTGTGCATCTATTGCTGCCGCTGTGGTCCCGAGCTGAAAGCTTTCCACCGCCAAATCAGGAAACCTAGCCCCCCCACCTTCGTTGCTCTCACACGGTTTCCGTCGCCCAAATCTCCCATTCGCCGGTGCGGGTTACTTAAGTGAGAAAGCTAGCTCGGCCTGTCATAATTCGTCTTATTCACCCATACCAAAGCTCCACCTCACTTCTGCATCGGTAATCCTCCTTCCACACAGTGCGTAGTAACAAACTTCTCGTCTTTTACCGCTGCGTGGTCACACAAACCAGACTAACCCACTCTCGCGATCGCACATTTCTCGAGCGTCGTATAACCACGAGTGGTACTCCATTCCTCCATACAAAGACAAGCTCTCGCGCTGAAAACGAGCCGTTTCCCTCCTCGTACCGCGCTGATCTCGAGCCTCAAGCTTCCAGGGGAGCGTCCAGCCAACGATTGCTCCCGTGCCATTGACGTGCCACTGATTTTCCGGAAATCTTCACGTTTTATTCCCGAAACATGACGGCCCTGGCCCGTGGTCGGGAAGCGGAGTCGCAAGATGGACGACGCCAGCTTTCCCTGGTTTCAGATTCGCCGCCTAACCTGCCGCGGCGGCTCCCGCCTTCCTGGCAACCATGGACTACGGAGGTAAGGACATTGCGAATCCACGTGCTATTACGTGTGATCTTTCACCTACTGCTACGTGCATACCTAGCACTGCTAGGTCAAAGTGTCCCGCCGTGGTCCTTTTGAAGAAGGTGGTTCAAACTGTTCCACGTATGCCACATCCCGCGCCATTTCAGCAATAGTTGCGGCCGTGCCGCACAATGCAGCTTGTTGACAGCCGTTCCCTCCGCCTCTGCTACCCTCTGCCACTTACCTTCTGTATATTCCCTCGTCCTGTACTATATGTACTCATCATTTGTTACCTCTGCCACTTAACCTTACTCTCTGTCGCTTGTTCTAACTTGCTTATCCTCGGCCACTTATCCTGTTTCCCTTGCCCATATCGCTTTACTTCTGTCCCTCACCCCGATGGCTAACTTTTCGTCCCTTACTCTCGCTTGCCCCATAGCCCCCTCCCGGCTCAGCAGGGGGACGCAGTGCTGCTGCGGCACGCGGGTCACCCTATTTCGCCGTCTGTCTCTTACCCTCTGTCCCTTACCCTCATTTTCCTTCCATCTGGCAGGAGGACGCGGTGCTGCTGCGGCACGCGCTGAGGCACGGCACGCGGCAGTGGGGGCGGCTGGTGCGAGGCAAGCAGCTCCTGCGCGGCAACAAGGCGTGCTGCAACCGTTTCCTCTTCCTCAAAAAGTGAGCCCTGCATGCATGCAAGCCACAATGCCATTTGCTGCAACCGCTTCCTCTTCCTCAAAAAGTGAGCGGGGGATCGTTCTGCTGCCTCTCATGCCCTGTTACACCACCGTGCCATGCAACGTGCTTAGGGAGGAAATGCAGTGCAGCCTGTACAATGCAGTCCGCCTACTGTCTGAACTTCCCCACTCGCTCTATCTTGTGTCTAGATGAATCCATTGATTCGCGGATTGCATGCTTTGCGTTATGGATTTGAGCGCCTGGGTTCATGTCTGACACACTTCTTCATTCGAACCGCACTTTTTTTTTTTTTAATGTGTTTTCAGGAAGTTTACCCAGAAGCCCACTGATGCCACATTGCCAGCTCAGCAACAGTTCCAGCAAGGCCCATCCGTCTCCACTTCCTCCAGCCAACCACAGCGACACATGTGTAGCCGTCCTGATGTGGCGTTGCAATATGGCGGGCTGTCATTGGTCGAGTGCATGCAGCTGTTCCTCCCCGCTGGTATTCGAGACATCGTGGTCCCACCTGCTGTTTCACCTGACCATGCACCTGAGTTCAATCCAGCACCTGCTGAGGCTATCCTCGCGGATCCGGAGCAGTTTGTACCGAGCATGGGACGCCTAGGGAGAGAGAATGCAGTAGCAGCAGCAGCAGTAACAGCAGCAGCAGCAGCAATAGCAGCAGCAGCACCAGCAGCAGCAGCAGCATCAGGACAAGTAGGAGAAGGAGCAACAGGAGCTCAGCAGCGCACAGCATCAGTGGCAGATCGCCAGCTGGCTCACATTCTGTTTCCGGAATTACGAGCCACAGATGTATGCACCATGAACCCCATGAATCGGGGGATGAAGAGGCTTCGCAATGTCAACACAGGATTCAGCAGCGGCGGCGCTCACACCGGCACGTGTGAAGGCCTGTCGGCTGTGCAGCTTCAAAACATTGAAGTTGGTGATGCCTTGGCTGAGCGCTCGCTGCTTCTGCAGGCCGCTGACAGCCGGACCTGCCAGCGGAATTGCGGGAATAGGTGAGGCTGTGACTCGAGATGTTGAAGCTTATGTGCTTCTTTTGTGCCTGCACAATGTGCATGGATTTCTGGTAATATACTCTGATTTTGTGCCGTTTTCGGATCCAGTGGACCTCCGTTTATCCGACGTCGAATCCTGGCGAGTTCGCTTGTTCTCTTCTCATCCATTCTCCCCCCTCTTCTCTGTTCTTCCCTCTTCTCTGCTCTTTCCTCTCTTCTCTGCTCTTCCTGTCTTCTCTGTATCTGCTCTGCTCTACACTGTTTAGGCGGACCACCCTGTCATCCTGGCTCATGGCGTCTCTTCTGCAGCAGAAGCAACAGCAACAGCTGCCCCAGCATCAGGAGCAGCAACAGCAGCAACAGGAGCAGCAAGAAGAGCAACAACAGAATCAGCAGCAGGAACAGCTGCCATCACGGTTCACACAGGCTCCAATTGGGTCCAAGTCAACTCAGACTTTCCAGTCAATGAATGGACCCTCAGTCCGGCCTGCAGCTCACTGCAGCAGCATCAACACACCCATCTGGGGCTCTCTCCCCGCCCTTGACTGGCCTCTTTCCTTCTCAACCTCCCTCTCACCCTCCTTCACACCCTCCTTCACACCCTCCTTTTCACCCTCCGTCACACATTTCCTCGCACCCTCTCTCTCACCGACCCACATGTCCACCTCTCGGACCTACCCAGCCAGCCCTCTCTCATCCGCGTCGCACTGGCACTCCACCTCTCGCAAGCCCTTCGCCTTCAGCCTGACTCAAAGCTCCCTCCTGCATACCGCCCTTCCTAACATCTTTTCGCCATCCCTCCACTCTACCGTCCCTCCTCCCACCACTCCCTCCACCGCCCTCCCCATCGCTCCTGCCAGACACAACCCTCTCCCGTCCCCTTCCTCCTTCATACCCTTCCCTTCAGCTCCCAGCCAGTTTGCTGCTTTGTTCACGCCCACTCCTCTCATTACACCCACGACGCTAACGGTGTCATCAGCCCCTACCACCGTCATCAACCGTGGCCCACCGCACTCTATTCCCTCCTTCCCCTTACTCTCGGACCTCCAGTCCGCCCTCCACTCTCCACCGGCCAAAGCACCTCTCACACTCTCCGACCCACAGCACTACCCTTCTCAGTGCTACCCTTCCCGCAGTGCCTCCCCAAGCAACGCTGCTTCCTCCGCTTCTGTCGAATGCTCCCCGCCTTCCTCCCAGACCTCCTCCCAACCCTCCTTCCAACACGTCTTCCGACCCTCCGCTACGCCAGTGGAATCACAGCAGCTGCGAGCCACAGCCGCTCCGTCAGCTGCTCCTTCCCACCCTGCTGCAGCAGCAACATCCGCAAGCGTGCTTTGCATTCCTCCCATTCCTCCTGTGCTTCCAGCAGCAGCAGCCCTTCCAACTTCTTTGTATCATGCAACAATGGACACACCTCCCTTGTCTTCACCTGCACTAGCAGCAGAACATGGGAGGCCGCAGAAGATGCCTCGGACGAGCCGAGGAGTTTTGCCCCCCGCTGCTCTGGAATTCGCCCGCTCCTTTTTTTCTGGGCTGTTGGGCAGGGTTGATCACCAGGGAAGCGAGAGCAGCGACAGGGAAGGACTGCCTAGTTTGAGCGAGTCTTTACTGTCTGACATGGTTACTGCAGCGACTGCTGCTCCTGGTGTAACTGCTACCCCTGATGTGACTGATTCTCCAGCAGCAGCGGCTCTTGCAGCAGCAGCAGCAGCAGAAGGCATACCAGTATGTCAGGGAGAGGTATCCATTTGGAAGGATCTGATTGAGCTGGAGGGCGGGGAGATGGAGGTGGTCTGTGGTGTGGAGAAGAGAGCAGGGTTGGCGCTGGGCTCTTTCTGCGAGCTGGAGGTCCTCTTACAGGAGAATGAACAAGCTAGTGTGGCACCATTTGGCACACAATGAACAAAGACTTGTCAAATGCAGTAGTTGGTAATGTAAATTACATGAGTTTCGCTGGCAGTTCTTGTGCGCCAATGTGTAGCCTTTGATTTGTAATGAACTCATTTCAACTGGCAAATTACAACATGCACCTCGAGCTAGACAAAATAAGTGCTACCATATTACCCCGGATAGTAGCGCCTATGCGCTTATAATAAAATTGGTTTTTTTGGTGGGGGTGCTTTTAAGTGAGTATCGGCCATAAGCGCCGCCGCCGGCGCTTATATAATGACAAGTACAGAAATACAACTTAAACGCATAAAAATGTACATTTCTGTCTCGTAGGTTCAATGGCGTCCTAAATTTGAATCGCGTGAGGGCGAATCTCTGACGTTGCACATAGCTTTTCGCACGTCAATTTGCCCGCGTGCCACCTCATCCTGACTGGACACGAAACCAGTCAGGACCTCGAAAGTCAAACAAAGTGAAAATGGGTGCTGACTCGCTTGAATTTCGAAATTCGTGACTGTTTTAATCAGGATTGAAAGAATAAAATTATACATGCGCTTATAATAAATTATAATTTTAAACACACGAAGTGTTTTTCAAAATTACGTATTTCGAAAGCGCAGCTGCTTGTAACGCATGTTTTGGCATCGTCGAAGCGCGCTAAACGCCCTTCTCCAACTACAAATCGTGGGTTGGAGCTCATTTCCCTCCACCCACGTCTCTCGTTTTCCAACGGCTCATGCAACTCCATTTTCTCGAGCTCACTTCTAGTTTTACCGTTCAAGCTGGCGAGGACTCGCTCATTACCTAGAGGCGTTTCACCTTCAACTTTATTAGCCGACATCCTTAACCAAAACCGCTCAACGATGGCTGCGACGCCGACGCTTAACCGTGCTAACGACATCGTCGCCAACGACCCGATAATTTCCGACAACGACCGTAATGCCCGTGAAACGACGGGCGAGCGTCGCAACAAGCGCCGGGCAGACGGCGAAACATCCGCCCCGACCGCCGTGGACGTGCTGTTGGGCGGGCTCGAAGTCAACAAAAACGCCGAGCAGCACCCCCAGCACCCTTCGGCGCCTGTGGCGCCAGTGGCACCTGTGGCGCCAGTGGCGCCTGTGGCGCTAGTGGCGAACGTGGCGACACACGCCGCGGACGCGGAGCACGCGCCAGCGGCACACGCCTCCGGCCGGCCGTCGCGTCAGCGCCAGAGGCGCCGTACGGCTGCCTCGTCTGACGCGACGGCTGACCAGGCCTTGACCGAGGCGTTGACCCCGGACCAAGTCAAGGCCCTCCTGTCCCTGTTACAGCAGCACCCTGCTAGCGCGATCGCCGCCGAAACTACACAACCTGCTGCATCTGCATCGGCTAAAAACGACATTGCAAAAAAGGAAAAAGGAGCAAAAGGACCATCAACGCGCCGCCACGACAAGGAGGCCGTTACCAGCGCTCCTGAAGCTGCAGCAGACAACAACGACTCCGACGACTCAGACGACGACGCCGGTGAGGCTCCGAACAACGCAACAAATTTTCCCCCCATGGAAAATCTCCCTCCCCTCCCTTGCACTAACCCCACTTTTTCGGCGGCAAACTTCATTGACCCGATCGTGCGAGCGAAAGTGGAGCCCCTGGAGGACCTGAGGGCCTACCTGAAGCACGCGGAGTACAAACTGCAGCGCGGCGACGCGGCGGGCGGACTTGAAATGGTCGCGAGCGCCCTCGACTACATTTCGGAGTGCTACGACATGCTTCAAGTCGAGGACGCCACCGACGATCGCGTCGCCAAGCGGTTCAAGATGTACCAGCAGAAGAGCCTCCTTACCTCCCGCCCGTTCAAGCAAGCCGTCGCCGACGTGGCAGCAATACATCGCGCGGAGGGTGCGCATGCTCGATCCCACCGCGGCGGAGGTCGCGGGCCCATGGTGTTCAACCCCAAGCGCGGCCCGCCTATGGGGAGCTTCCACGGCTTCCGTGGGACATGCTTCCGCTGCGGCCAGCCGGGGCATGTGGCAAGTGGCTGCCCGCGGAATGGCAATGGTGGCCAAGGACCCGCACCCGTGGTGTAGGGATGGTCCTTGAGCGTTTGCGCCTTAGCGCGCGTGGCACGGTGCACGTCAAGTGCGCTGACCGTGGGCAACCCAAAGGGGTTTGCGGTGGCTATGAGCCAAGCCCTAGTTAGGGGTGATGATTAGGCTATAGGCCTAGGTGGCAGGAGAGGGACTAGAAAGCCCTTTGGTCCCATAATTTGGCCCGTGCGGTGCGGGGCGGATGCATGCTAGGAAGCATGGCTATGTGTGGCCCGTTTCTTATAAGGGCTTTATTTTTAAAGAAGTACTTTCTGATCTTGGCTTTGGATGACAAAAAAAAAAAAAAAAAAAAAAACCAGAGAGCAACAAAATGGCAAGCACCCACACGAACCCGAGCAAACGGCCCCACCATTCGCTGGCATTGGTAGCCTTTATATTGGCCACGAACCAAAAAGGCATGTCATGGATAAAGGGAAAGCAAGAGCAAATGCAAAGAGTGAACGAGAGCGAGATAGAGAGAGAGAAAGAAGGAGAGAGAGAGAGAGAGAGAGAGGGGGAGAGAGAGAGAGAGAGAGAGAGAGAGAGAGAGAGAGAGAAAGAGAGAGGGATAGAGGGAGAGAGAGAGCGAGAGGGGAGAGAGAGGCGAACCGCGTCACACATGGGTGACAAACGATGATTACGACTTGTTGATGTGTCTACACACGCGTTATCGCATGCACATTCCTGAGACACGATGGCTTGCATTCTAACACCTCTGCGCCACTGTCACTCGACAAACATGCAGAGATAACACGACACGAGACGCTAGGCGACGGAGATCCGTACGAGTTCGCCGTCACTGACAAATCTGTCACGCAAATGCGCGGGCGGCTTCGCGCAACCCTTGCATGGTGGAGCTCGTGGTGCCCCAGCAGCCTCATCCTCTCCGTCATCGCTAACGGTTACTGGCTGCCATGGAGCCACAACCCACCACAAGCGTTTCACGAGCGCAACCACCTCGGGGCGCACACGCATGCTGCGTTCACACGCACTGCCATTCGCGAACTTACCGAGACCGGCGCGGCGGTGGTCACCCCAGCAGCGGAGCTCACATGCATAAGCCCACTCAACGTGGTTGAGCAACGAGAAAAATGCAGGCTAATCCTCGACCTCAGAAAAGTGAACGCGCACCTGACCATCCCTAAATTCAAATACGAAGGCCTAAGCCGCGTGGCCGACCTGGCACGCATGGGAGATTGGATGTTCTCCATCGACCTCAAATCGGGATACCACCATATCGACATACACAACTCTTGCTGGAAATTCTTGGGCTTCGAATTTGAAGGGCGCACGTACGCCTTCCGTTCACTACCCTTTGGCCTCGCCACGGCACCATTTGTCTTCACGCAGCTCATGAAACAACTAGCCAGGCGCTGGCGTGAACAAGGCGTTCGAGTGATACCCTATGTGGACGACATCCTGTTCTTATGCACGTCCAAGGCCCACGCACAAGCAACATGCCAGCAGATAATTTCGGACCTCAAGATGGCGGGCTTGGTGATTAACGCGAAAAAGTCGCAGCTGCTGCCATCCCAACATCTGCGATTCTTGGGCGTCGAGTTGGACACCAAATCTGGTCAATTCTCAATTGGCACCGATCGACGGGCATCACTTCACGCACACATTCGGAACCTACTGGACACAAGCAAAGCGCGCCGACAGGTTCCAGTCCGCCACCTGGCCAGAATCACCGGCACACTCGCGTCGATGGCCGTCGCACTCGGCGCCACGACGCGTGCATTCAGCCACGCCATGCTACAAGCAATTAACGACGCGCCATCCTGGGGAAGCAGCTTGAGCATTTCCCCCCCCATTGCTGAAGAGTTGCAGTTCTGGCTTGAAGAGTTCGACAAATTTAATGGCGCACCATTCCACGTTCGGAATAGTTATGACGCGGTAATTCACGTGGACGCCAGCTCTCATAGTTGGGGCGCCACCCTTCTCACCTTCCCTGGTGAACTCGAAGAGGCAAGCGCAGCCATGCCAGAACCATTGCGAATGACGTCCAGCACTCGGAGGGAAACTGAAGGCGTCCTTTCGGCCCTTCGAACGTACGCGAACAAGGTTCAGCAAAAAAACGTGCTCGTGAGGGTGGACAACCAAGGGGTCTTTTTCATCCTCCGCAAAGGCGGCTCTCGCACCCCCGACCTCACCACCGCTTGCAAGGACATCATCCGCACGTGCATGGAGCTCGGCACTCGATTAATTGTTGAATGGATCCCGCGCGAGCTAAACTCCCATGCAGATGAGCTGTCCAAAATGATCGACCACGACGATTACTCCTTGAAACAACCATGGTTCCGCATCCTCAATCGTCGCTGGGGTCCCCACTCAATCGACCTTTTCGCAAGCCCAAACAGCTCGCAGTTGCCACGATTCTGCTCAAAGATACCACACCCGGAGGCCACTGCAATCGACGCATTCTCGATTTCATGGTCGACCGAGAATGGCTTCGCGTTCCCGCCACCCCAGTTAATTCCAGCAGTCATCCACCACGCACAACGCACCCACGCCTCACTCACCCTCGTTGCCCCACATTGGCCAGGGGCAACCTGGTGGCCACTCCTACAACCCTCCCCACCTAGCTGGGCCCCGCATATCCAAGCACAAATTCCCCTGACGCACGGCAGCTAATGTTTAGCAGTAGGCTCGCACCGCACCGCTTTCTCAGGCACAGGATTGCCTCATAGTACAATCGTCGCATTACGAGTGGTCTTCAACTAACCCATCTCGTCCTCCTTCGCGCAGACGTACTGCCAAAGCTACAAGTACAGCTTCTAAAGATGCTCTCACAGTCTCGTGCTGACTCAACGATCCAAACGTACGAGCCATACTGGGTCAAGTTTCGAGCCTTCTGTGCAAAGGTGGACCTCCCATTCCTCCCCGCGGCAGACATGACCCTCGCACTATACCTGGTGTACGCCATCAAACGCAAGGCCACCCTATCCATGGTACAACTCACCTGCTCAGCCGTGAGCTTCGCCCACCGCATGACTGGGAGCGCATGCCCAACGGCAGGACCATTCACCACTCAAGTACGCGACTTTGCGAAACGACACTGTCCTCGCCCCACGAGAGTGAAGGAGCCAGTCTCGCTGCAACAAGTCCGTGACATGTCGGCAGGATACCTGCGATCTGACAACCCCGGCGAATTCCAGAAGGGGCTCATCCCCATTCTCATGTACTCCGGATTCCTGCGATACTCAGACCTCGTCGCCATCGAGTGGCAAGACATCCAGTTTGACGACGAGGTCATGTGGATCCTAATTCCGTACTCCAAGACGGACCAAGCTGGAAAAGGCACATGGATACCTATCGCCGCAACACACGATCCGTTCTGCCCTGTCCGCGGCACTCAACGACTCATTCGACTCGCCGGATACGATCAGCAATCAAGGGGGCCGCTGATTCGCACCTTCGGTCATGGTTCCACCCAAGGTGGCCAATCAAGGCCACCGTCGTATCAGACAATCCGAAACTGGTGCAAAGAGGCCTTTGGGAAGATCGGACTTGGAGAACAACAGCTGGGCACTCATTCCTTTCGCAAGGGTGCAGCCACTGCCGCGGCAAACACCGGCGTGCCAGACAGAATCTTCAAACGGCTGGGCCGATGGCGTAGTGACGCAGCCAAGGAGATGTACGTCACGCCAAATGCCGAACATCTCATCAACGCCTCCCGCTAGTTGCAGGACCTGAATCATGCCCCGTCCTCAGCACAGCACGCAGAGGCACTCATCCGTCATTGGAAGCCCCGGCTACCCATGTCTCAAGAACCCCAGTTGAAATGAGAACGATGCCAAATGATAAGTAAGAGAAAGCAAGCTTTCTAAATATTATAATTTTAAACACACGAAGTGTTTTTCAAAATTACGTATTTCGAAAGCGCAGCTGCTTGTAACGCATGTTTTGGCATCGTCGAAGCGCGCTAAACGCCCTTCTCCAACTACAAATCGTGGGTTGGAGCTCATTTCCCTCCACCCACGTCTCTCGTTTTCCAACGGCTCATGCAACTCTCCCACCCCCCGCCCCAACACTGACGGGCATCATCGACGCTGCTTGAACGAGAAGATCGATAGCTTGTAGCATGATAGACATCAAGTAGCATGATGAATCGCTGGTACAATGATTGATACGCAGATAGTAACATGTACTAGCACTTCTGTTTCCTAGCTCGAGGTGCATGTTGTAATTTGCCAATTGAAATGAGAACGATGCCAAATGATAAGTAAGAGAAAGCAAGCTTTCTAAATATCAGGGTTTTACAGGGGGGGCGCTTATAATCGAGGAACGGCCATAAGCGCCATGCTCCAGATATAGGCGCCGGCGCCTTTAATCGGACGGCGCCTATATCCGGGGCCATACGGTAGTATATGTCCTGATACTTCCTATCAATCATTCGTCAAGCTATCAATCCTAATAGGTGTGCGCTAACCCACATTGTACCACTTGTGTCCTCCTGTGTAAGCGGCGGCCTTGGTGTCCATCGGTGTTGGGGCGGGAGGTGGGAGAGTTGCATGAGCCGTTTGAAAAATGAGAGACGTGGGTGGAGGGAAATGAACTCCAACCCACGATTTGTAGTTGGAGAAGGGCGTTTAGCGCGTTGCGACGATGCCGAATTCGCGTTACAGTCAGCTGCGCTTTCGAAATACGTAATTTTAAAAAACACTATGTGTGTTAAAAAATGATCTTTTTTTTTTGCAGTGGCTTGAGGTCCTTGGATATGTTGAACTTATCTTTCAAGCTTCGACCCCACCAGGGTTGTTAGATGCTTTCGTTATAGCATTGTCTGAATCAATCAATGCCTGCCTAACAAATACATGATGTGACTTGCGTTCATCCCTTCATGCAGTGATTGGCAACTAGATCATGGTACCTAGCTTTCAGATCTGTCCTTGGTACTCATTTCTGGCTAGCATTGCTGGCAGTGAAGCTAACAGCTTTCAATGTTGGTCCTGTGCAAATAATGTCATGCTGAGACTGCGCGGACCAGCCATCTTGCCTGTCTTGCATTATCATCCTGGTACACTGAATTCATATGCAGCGAGGAAACGTGTGTCCTCCAACATATCCACCAGCCATGGACCGCTTCACATTGTAGTCAAATTGCCGTGGATTGGTGCGCAGAACCTCTGCTGCTTCATGGTTCAAGGGGTCATCAGGATTGGGATCCTGTGGGACAATAACGTAGGGGAGCGTTAAGATTGAGAACATGGATATCAGCCGCAATACATTTCCAGCAGTACTACACTCCAGCCATACAGCCCCTGCATGGCCACGCTCAAAATTCCACGGAACCCCTCCACTTCCAAATACCCTCAACCCGCAATATCTCCAAACCACGCATACGAAGCATCACATAGAGTCAAACGTACCAAGAAAAGAAACTGCAAGCCGTAGACAATGGAGTTGATGCTCAAAACAGGCTTCCAGTCTTCTCTCAAAATGTTTAGACAAACATTCCCTTCCAGGTCAATGTTGGGGTGGTACACCTGCAAGTGGCATGACGAAAAAATCAGCAATCAAGACGCTCTACCACAAGCAACATCCTGACGTCAAGACCATGTTTCATCGACACAAAAAGACCTAATACATGAGGTGATGGAAATCACTAGCTGCTGTACCTTAGTTTTGCACTTCACTTTGGGAGCTTCATGAGGGTAAGAGGGTTGAACCTCGAAGCTGAAAGTGAACGTTCCTCCCCTGAGAGGTGCAAGGAGGTTGGAAGGGAGCGTGTGACAAGGGATGCACGATTGACAACGCATCTAAGGACGGGTTGGGTTGACGTTGGTAGGGGGATGGGAGGTTTGGTGAGCGATGCAGGAAACTGGTACAGACAAGAGGTGGAACAGAGCTAGCGAAAGTGGCAAAGAAACAGGGATGCAACACACAACGGAGACAGGAGAGCGTACACCAAGCGATCTCGGAAATAGGTGAATAAACCGTGGAAGTCAAGAGCGCTCACAAGTAGTAGCCTTCATCTGGCTTAATCGTAATATCGAACTTCAGAAGGTTATCCTTTCCCTCTGGGAATGCGATGCTCGTTGTCGTAGGAAGATTTAACTCCGAAATATCTGCACGGAACAACACAACAACTCAGCATCCTTCTTTGATTACAAGGCTCAAGAGATTGCGGACGCTGTAATAACTCCGGGCGAACGTAAACGACAGTAACAGCGAATGCTCACCTTTTTGAACTCTCAACTCGCCAGCCGACTGTTTCCTTCCTGGAGCTCTGCCATTATTGCTTTCTGCTGCTTCCCGTTGCTTCTTCTTGATCATACCAAGGTTAATCATATTGGCTAGATGCGAAAGCTCTAAGCTACTCGCTACGACCAACTCGAAACCCTATGTCCCAGGATTGCTCCTCTGCCTATCAGTGCACTCCACTCGGCGACGCGAACGAATCGAGAGGAGAGCGAAGACGCGTAAAGGAGACCGAGAACCTTGAATAACCACTAAAACTCGGATGATGCAACTATTGACTAAACGCAAGCTGGTCTTACCAGAACATGGTACGACTAGCAGATGTTGGGCAGACATTTATTCTAAAAATGGGAAAACTGTGCAGTCATGCATAGGCGAAGCAAGCCACAATGAACGATAGTACCATGTGTAGTGCGGTGCGGTTAGTTGTTGGTAGGTACGCTGCTCCTCATTACACTAATTAAATGTTGTGGCCACATTAGAAGTTGACATTTAACACGTGCAATACAAACTAGAAAATCACAACTACGTTGATATACGTCAAGCAATACGTGCCTCTAAGGAATTCAATGGCTGGATCTTCGCAATGTTAGCCTGGTGTTCAATCTTGTTAACTAGCATCTCGGCCTTCAAACATCGCCTCCGGCAGTAGGTTTTGAGACCTTGGTTCATCAAATACCTGCCAAGCAACCAAATGGCGCAAACAAAGAGATGCTGCAATATATCAAAAAACAAACTTCGGCCACACATCCCAACTGCAGCATTCTGTAGGTAAACAAGTTCAAGTTGGGGCACGGCAGCAGAAGCAACAGATGCCTTGACCAACAAAGTTTGCATGTTTACTTGAATACTTCACCTTGTAGGTGTAAACAGGCCCTGAGAAAAATGGGTTATTGGCAGTCTGAGATGGCTGCGTGTTGTGGGGCTGCAGTGTTAGGACTAATAGGTTCAGTAGATAGGGAAGGTCGCCCTGCTGAAGTGCATCCAGCAAGCCATCTGTTGCACAAACAAGGTAGGAAAAACGGGATAGGAGAGTATGTGCGTGTGTGTGTGAGTGTGTTAAGTGGGAGGGATGGAGGGAGTGTGTCTGTGGGTGTGAGTGTGTGTGAAACTTGAGATATTTACATAGATAGACAGAGGCAGAGAGAGAGAGAGAGAGAGAGAGAGAGAGAGAGAGAGAGAGAGAGAGAGAGAGGGAGGGAGGGGGGGGGGGGGGGGGGAAGGAGAAAGATGAGGGGAAAGTCAAGCCACAATGAAAACATATATGACAATCGGAATTGCACCAGGAGAGAAAAACAGAGAACCAGGGCATGGAAAACCGGGGCGAGGAGTGTACCACAGATGAGCGAGACGACACGGGGAGAAATGGGACGAAGTGAAGTGGCAGTCACGATCCACTTGAGAACCGCAGGCGAGATCCGGAGCAACGCAACAACTGACTGCACCAGCACACGCGGAACCACTATCCGCAACACAGCGCTCGCTACCCGTCCCCTAAACGACTGCTGTACTAGCTGCCACACTCCACCAGCCTGCTGCCACGACATTACCACCTCAGGTTGACCCCCTGGTCGCCTCTCCTCCACTTCCGCATGCATGGCCCTTTCGCGGCCTCTTATTTCTTCGGTAGCGTCACCACACTCGCCAGTGTTCAGAACTCCTGGTGGCCCCAGCAGCAACAGTCCTGCTACGAGCCCTTGACCCAGCCTTTCAGCAGCGGCATGAGCAAGAGGGGAGCCTAGGCCAAAGCCCACTACCCACAGCCCCGGTACCACGTGCAGCTGTTGCGCTAGCTGCTTGATATCGTCAGCAACAGCAGAGGCGAATGATGCCGTTGTGGTGGTGGCTTGGAGAGGGAGAGGGTCGCTAAACCCTGTGCCAGGGAGGTCGAAGGAGATCACGCGGATGGACCGTTGATGAAAGAACGCCTCGCTGCGAAGCAACGGAATAACAGCAAAATATGCTCGTCAGCTTCGTACATAGAGTAAGGACTGTAAGACTTGCTGCGGTAAATTGATCCAGCAGGAGGCGTTAGAAGAAAGCGTACCTGAGACCTGGAAAACCCGCCGTGCGGCAGAGAGGGGGGGCGTGGACGACCAGGAGCGTGTGACGCGCACTTCCCTGCGGGACTCCAAACTCCTGCCACGCGAGAAGCCGTCCGTCCGTCAAGCGAATGCGCTTCGGCTCGGGTAGCTTTCTTTGAAACGGTGAGAGTATAGTCGCACAGCCGATGCACGTTCCTGCAAACATAATTACATGGGGATAGAGTGAGCGAGTGTGTGTGAGTGTGAGAGCGAGTGTGTATGAGTGTGAGACTGTGAACGATAGCAGGAGCTCACACGCAATGGTGTTCCAGCATCGAGTGAGGGTGCTTACCAGCGAACGACGTGTAAGCGAGTGTAGCTCCGATGACGAGAAGTGTTAGCATTATCAGGCAGAACGGTAGCGAGATGAGGATTAGAGGAGCCACCGGAAGCAGCAGAAACGACCAGAGGATTAATGAAGACAGGTCTCCGCCTCCCCGTTTCAGACTCATGATAAAAGATGAGGAGGTGGAGTGAAGGCTAGACGGCCACGTGGTGTAAGCCGTGGACCAGGCAGACGTGGACTCCCGTGAGTCGCATGATTCCCGGTCGCCGTCTCGTTGGTCGTCCAGGACCTCTCCTCCAGCCGCTCCGGCAGAAGATGATGCTTCCGTGGTAGCGAATGACGACAAGGCAGGCATCTCCTCAGCATCGTCGAAGTTGACCTCTTTTGACTCGTCTGATCTTGGTGACAGCTGATCTGGCGAGAGAGGCGGAGTGGAGTGAACAGCGGCTTCATCTGTGTTTGGTCCAAATTGAAAAGCTTCTAGATGCGAGGGTTCGGACGTTTGTACATGGAGTGGCATTGAGAGCTCAGACGTAGGCTCAGATTTCGCCAGAGCCAGATCTCTGCCTCTGCTTGACTGAAGCCTTCCGCTAACCGAGTTGACATCGCACGGAACCACAGGAACATGACCCGGACTGTCCTTCCGAGCTTCCTGGCATTTCACTTTCGGCATACCCCATTCTTCGTCCAGCAAGCTTAGCAAGTCCTGGGAGGGAACTGAAACTGCTTGTGCATTCGACGAGCGTCTCGACTTCCGAAACATTGTTACTCCTGACAGAGAATTACTCCGAGCTAGCACGAGATTCCACGGCTGGCTGGACTAGTCATAGACATCCAAATAAGCATTTCTAGCCAACAAATTGAACAAACCTGCAACGGAACTTCAACGATCGAGTATTCAAGCGGAGAAGTATGCGCAGGGTGATGTGGGAAATTGGAGAATCCTCCTCTGAAGTGTGTGGAAGGGGATGGAGAAGAGTGTCACGTCATGTCATCATGCGAGGAGGAGAAAAGGGATTCTCTTGGGCGGGATGCTCTATGTTCGGCAAGTCCAGTCAGACGACTCCCCAGTCTTGACAAACCAAAACCTGCATCCGAGCCAGTTTTCCCTGCCATTTTCCTGGGCCGAACCTTGTCCTTGGCTTTCCCAGGTTCGTTTGTCAGGTGTCACACACGGCAGGAGCCAGACCAGGCCTCGACTCATTGGTGCCCTTGACGGCTGTTGATTTTTACCCTGGGCTCAGAAGCGTTGATTATGGAACCTTGAGAGCTTCAGCCAATCACATGGCTCATCAACTCCGCGCCGAATTTCTTTTTCACAACTTTCTCAAATGCGTAGAGCTGTTATGAGTTGTAAAAGAGAGTACGCAGGTAAACGAATAACGAGGTTGTGATTAACTGATCTGAGAATACAATGAAGGAACGCACTAATGTAGGAGATAGCCTAGCTAGGAGGAAACCTCGGACGAGCGAGGTTGGGGTGAAGGTTTGGCGATGGGAAATGCCGGAGGCGACGCGAGGAGCCTCGGCAGCGTTGAAATCGGCCGAACGTGCAAAGTCTGAAAATCGGGCCGTACGCGTAGCCAACCCCGATAAGGAATTCGGGAAAATTCCTTACACTACCTTCCCCCCCCTTAAGAAAGGCGGTCAATATCCGAAACACGCCTGCGCGCCAAATAATCACCAACAAACGGCGAGGCGTCGAGCGAGTCAGAATGCACCCACGTGTCATCCTCACTGGTGCGGTCAGTCCAACGGATTAGAAAATCCACGTGGCGACCAGCTGCGTCAAGGCGAACCCGATGTGCCAGAGTCGGCTCCGGGACAGGTCGTGCAGTTGGGGCAGCTTGTTGCCTCGCGATTTCGGTCGTGGCGGGCACGAACTTCCGAAGCAGGCTGACGTGGAAGGCGTCATGAATGCGCCAGTCGTCGAGTAGTAGCAGCTTCGCGGTGACAGGTGTCACCAAATCGTGGCCGTAATTTCGACGGGTGCAGGTTCTTCGTGTCAAATAGCACTAGTTGCCCAGTGGCCAAGACGAGTTACCGCGTAGAAGGTCGGTATATTTGCAGGAAGTGATATTCGCCTTGCGAATTGCGTCCGCGGCTTTTTCTCAGACTTCCTGGAATTCCGTCACAAAGGTCTGTGATCTCGGGACCGGGTTGTCGAGGGTCGTTGCCGTAGGAATCGTCGGGTCCATCCCGTAATTCAGGAACAACGGAGAGTGATTAGTTGTGCTGGACGGCGCGTTGTTGAAGGCGAACTCCAACATTGAAGAGATTCTTCCCAACGGGCAGGGTCGGGGCAGTTTGTCCTGATCAGCTGCTCCATGGTCTCATTGGTCCGCTCGGTCTGGCCGTCCGTCTGTGGGTGATATGCCGATGAGAACTGTAGCTTCGTGCCGTACTGCGCCTATGTCTCCTTCCAGAATTTTGATGTGAACGTCGGGTCTCGGTCGCTGATGATCGCCGAAGGGATGCCGTGCAGTCGCACGACCGTTGAGATGAAGAGGCGCGCAGTTTCTTCGGCTCTGATTGTCGTTCGGCATGGGGCAAAGTGCGCCATTTTCGTGAAGCAATCGACGACGACGAGCATTGCGTCGTTGTCGGACAGCCCAGCTGGCATCCCCGTGACAAAATCCATTGTCACTTGCTGCCACGGTCGTTCGGATGGCTTGAGGGGTTGCAGCAGCCCAGCTAGTCGCTGACGTGACGATTTCATGGCTTGGCACACCCTACATGACGACACATATAGCTGCACGTCGTTAGAGGAGTCAGGCCAGTAATATTGACACTGCAGTAATCTTGAATCGTGGACCTCTTGAATAAGGAGTTCACGCAGCAGCCTGTAAGCGGGAACCCAAATCCGGTCGGTTCCTTCTTTTAGGTAATATTCCCCTTTCTGCGTCGTGGCCTGCTGATGATTCCCAGTCGTGACGAACGAGTCCGTAGTGTAGCCGTGGGTGAATAGTCCGGTAAGTAATGGGTTCGAGTGGGTAACGAGTACTGCAGCGGATTGTACTGTCGGTCGGGTCGGGGCGTCGGCGATGTTATTCGCCCCTTTCTTATACGTGATGCGGTAGGTGAAGTGGCTCTCCATGTAATCCAGCCGCCGTATTTGTTGCGGGTTGAGGTTGGGCTGTGTGAAAGAACGAGAAATGAATGCACTGGCAAACAGGTGGGTACAAGTAGGAAAACCTAAAAGTGTTGTACCCCATATTGTCTACCCCACTACAGCCTACACTGACTATAGCATATGAGTTTGACACACCCCCATAGGCAAAGTGGGGGAGAACAAGAGGTCACAAGACCAGTCAAGCAAAGCAAAGCAAGCTCAGGGTGGATCACAACGTCACCACACATTCCGAGCACAAGTTCAAGGCCACAAGGCCAGTTCACATGCAAGATCATATATAAAGGTAAACAAGCAAGTGCAGGTATAGAAAGATCACAATACAAGCAAGGTCAGGAAGTGAGCAAGTGAGGCCAAGTAGGCACAAGACCTAGCATCGTACAGAAGCACTGATGATCACAAGGCGGAAGTGCCTTGGTAAAGATATCAGCAGTATTGGCCTCAGAGGCCACGTAAGCAAGGCGCAGCTGACCACGCTGCTGCAGCTCACGAGCAAGGAAGTAGCGAAGAGCAATGTGCTTCGTTCTGTGCTCCAGTCTGTGCTCCCGACACAAGGCCAACATGGCCTTGTTGTCTACGTACAGAACTGGAGGAGAACGAGGCGGCTCTCCTAGGTCAATCAGCAGGTAGGTGAGCCAGCGTAGCTCCTGTGCAGCCATGGCCCCCGCGTAGATCTCAGCCTCACAGCTGGAGCCGAGAACAAAAGACGAGCGAGTAGACCGCCACGAAGCCGGAACCAAGGCTGAAGGTGTAACCCTGTGACGACCGCTGTGTAGCCTGGTCGTCAGCCCAAGAAGCGTCTGCGTGACCTGTGAGGACCACTGAACGTCGCCCTCCAAGCACTAGCCCCATGCCCGACGTACTGCACAAGTAGCGCAACACCCTCTTCGCTGCAGCCATGTGCTCTGGCCGGTGTCTCCCAGGAGCAACATAGCGTGCCAAGATGCTAAGAGGGTATGCAAGGTCAGGTCGGGTGCACGTCATCAGGTACATGAGGCAGCCAACAAGCTCTGGGTATGGTCCACTCGGCTCTACGGACTCATCCGAAGGCAGAGCTGAGAGCGAGTGGCGAGAAGATAGAGGAGTGGCCTGAGGCGAGGAGTACGTGAAGTCGAAGCGCTGAAGGACCTGCTACACCATGTGTGACTGAGTCAGGGTAATGGTGCGCTGTGCTTTGTCCCGGGTGATCTGCAAGCCAAGGTAGCTGCGCAGTTCACCCAGGTCTGTGCACGTGTGTCTCTTCTGCAACTCGGACTTCACGTGGGCGAGTCCAGTAGTGTTAGCAGTGGCAAAGACCAAGTCGTTGACGTACACGAGGATGTAGAACGGTGGCAAAGAGGTGTCGGTGCGCAGAAACAGCGACGGGTCGGCAGTAGAAGGAGCAAACCCAAGAGCCGCAAGCGTAGTCCTCAGTGTGTCGTGCCACTCACGGGGCGCCTGGCGGAGACCATAGACTGGCCGCCGGAGGCTCCACTGGGTACCAGGGGGAAACGACCCAGTGAAGCCAGGTGGGCGGCGCAGCCAGATCTCCTCGTGCAGGCTGCCCTACAGGAAAGCTGTGCTGAAGTCAAGAGAGTGAAGCTCGTAGTCGCGCTGATCGGCTATGTGCAGCAGCACCCGAAGAGTGGTCATCTTCGGGGTGGGAGAGAAGGTCTGAAAGTAGTATACTCTTTGCCGCTGATTGAAGCCTCGAGCCTAGTAACGCGCCTTGAAGACAGGCGGAGAACCCGGCGGCCGCTT